GCCCTTGAAAAAATATTTATGAATAATTATAAAAACAATGAAAATCCATCAAGATAAGTGGTTATTTTGGTGTTCAAAAATTGGTGTTCGATTTTTACTACTATGCTTATTAAATTAAGTATATAATACTGTATGTACTGCATCTCACCTTTGTGCTAAAATTTCAGCACATATAGCAATTTTTAATGTGACATTAATGTGTGAATAATTTAACACCTCCATTTTTCATTCATACCTGTGTTCTTAGTAACTTCTCTCTCATAGATAGTAAATGTTTTTGGAATAAATGAGTAAATGGATAAAAACCATAATGATAAAAAACAAATATAATAATGTATACTCACATGATTTAAACATGCATAATTTTTATTACATAATGCAAGGGAAAGACTCTCTCCCCCACGTGGAGAGCAGTATGATAAACAATATTTATAAAAGTTCTCGTGGTCTTCAGAATTAACTGAAAAGCAGTCACCTGTCAGTGATTTTATTCTGGATCAACCAGTTTATGAAGTCCCTGGTGGCTAGATTATCAAGAACTGTGTTCATCTCATCAGAGAAAGAACCATCAGCATGTCTGCGGCCAAGTTCTTCAACAATGGTGACTTCTTCTGGGAAACTAAGAAAATGAGAATTAAAATTAGCATTTTATTAGACATTTTCAGTAAATGCTTATGAATTGCCTACCATTGGTAACATGCACAAGTGTCACTGAGAAAACAGTAAAGAATTCTGCTTATAGAGGGCCTACTATGAAACGCCTCAAAAACCCATGTGAACAGGTGACTGTTGGGAAAGTATAAAGTAGCAGAGCTGTGCTCTGAAACCAAGCCTGTGTAACTTTATGCCCTTTTTAATATTTCCGGCTACTTCAAAGATTTTAGTATATTGGCAATACAGAAGCTATCGTTGAGACTATTCATTTGTCTGTAATTCGACAACATATATCATATCCCATAAAACCAGAGATTGTCAGAACAGCCTTGTAAAATGTACCATTAAAGGATTAAAGCTCGGTATATATTAGACTTTTTTTTTTTTTTGCTGACTTCTAGTAGTAGACTTTTTGATATCCCTTTAAAATACTATAAAATATCCTCAAGTGTAAGCAACTATTTTACCATTGGTTTTGTAAGTTAGATTGTGGATGTTTTAAAAATCAACCACAATACTAGTTCCCTTTCATCCTGAGATCTTGTTAAGTCTCAATAAGCTTGTCGTAAATCTAATTTAAAAATCAAAGTTGAACATAGATTTCCGGGCTCTCATATTTCAAATGCCAATCAAAATGGTCACAAGAAAATGAGATGGTTCAGGGATCTGTTTGGTTGTGTTAAGAACCAAGCAATTAACTAACAGTCTTAGTCTCATTTTCAACTTTGATTATTTAATGGGTATCTATATGATAGCCCCATAAAAAGTTGTTGTTAAATACATGAATATTTCTGCATATCTGTACTTTGTTTTATTAAAATGTCTTACATATGGTTCCCTGCAATTTTCATCACATTTTTATCTGTTTGTTGATAAATAAATATGTGTTGATCACATATGTAAATACTCAAAGTCAAACTTTAGATATGAAAAGTTTTATTTAAATACTTAAATATTTAAAGTTCTTGCATTATTTCTTCTTTTTTCTTTATCTCCAGCTCTCCTGGGACAGTCCTAGCTTAAACTTGTCTCAGTGTAGTTATCAAAAGCATTTACTCTCAGAGGTGTCCTGGCTTGGACAAGAAATTCATACCTGGTTATAACACAACTATAATGAGAAATAAAAATGTAACCTATGTGCCTCTATTTTAATACTCCCTACCAAAAGTAACATGGAGTAGACTTTATTTTACACTGTTTTTCACCAATAGGAATGATTTCCTGACTTTATGAGACTATACTAAGTGCTTCTGTATTCCAGACCCAGATATAGATAACTGGAGTCTTAAATTTTCTGCATCAAGGAAAAAAAATGTCAAATAAGAATGTAAAGACTTACTCTCGCCTTCCTCGGCCTTTCACCAGCCAAGCAATGAATTCCTTGGCAGCTTGGCCTTCCAAATAAGAACTTACATCACTGGTAAAGGTCCCTTCAGCATGTCTCTCAAATTCATCATGACGTTTGGCAATGTTATTCCTGAAAGAAATGTGAAAGTTAAATTGAAGATCTGTCTCTTTGGCAATATGGTTCTCACCTTTAAGTAGTGGCAACTTTGGGATCGAGATTCTATGTAGAAAGGGCGTAGAAAGTTTAGGAGTGGCTAGGGATTCGTCTTGAAGCTACATTGCTTATCCGGATTGCAGATTGGTGGGAGAGGGCTAATCACAGTGAAGGAGGGGCTAACCTCTCTTCCCTTCCTGGCATTCCCATTTCCACCTCCCCCGAGTATCTCTGCCATTGGTTATTAAAGCTGCGTCTCTTTTACTTTAGTCTTGATGGGTAGAGCTATCTACTGTGCTATGCTAGGCATAGGCACAGGCAGCTGTTATTACCAAATACGGGGTCAGAGTTAGTTAATTGATTCAAGGGAAAGCAAAGGACTATCTCAAAATGTCATCAAAAGGACCATATGATAATGGATTCAAAAAAATGTATTCTGCTAGCAAAGAGGAAAGCAAAGGAGCTAAGCCCATATCAGCATCAAGTGCGTGCAGAGCACTCTGTGGAGGTGAGCTGTCAGCCGCTCTCAGTCTGCCCAGGATGTGTTAGTATTATCCCTGCAAGATTTCATCTGAAACACAGAGCAGACACTGCCTAAGAGTGAGGACTGGATTCATTTACCAAGTTGTGGCATTCCCATTCTAGAAGATGAGGACAGTTGTTTTCATTTTTATAAATTTGTGATTTCTCGCATTTCACTGTAGTTCTTGGCAGGGACCTCTCCCAAGTTCTGCTCTGACCGTGACAGCCATCTTCCTGCAGTTGTATCTTCCACTTTAAGAAACTTTGGTTACCAACTCTATTTCTCCTATTCCTCCTGCTTGCTCGAGCGCTCACGCTCTCTCTCTCTCTCTCCCGCTCCCTTCTCCATTCTCTCCAGACAAATCTATGTCCTTTTCCTGATTTTCAGATTCCTTCAGCTACTTTGTATGCATAACTGCCTTCCCCTTGTGGGCCATCCTCCAAAAAAATTGTGAAATTCCACCATCTCTGTGAAACCCTTGCGGATAATTTCCTCCAGTAGCCTAGATGCAGCAAAAAACCCCAACACTCGTCAAAGAAAATCCAACATTAAAATGTATGCCTTACGATAGGCTTGTGTTCTTATTTGCTGCCTTCTCTCTTTATGCTGTGCAGCGAGGCTGTAATTTTAAACGCATATCTTAGATTTTATTCTACAAGAAAAGGAATGCATCTGTTTCCATTCCTTACCATTGGCTAGGGGATAATTTAATGTGATCATAGTCATGGGTTTGAACCCCATAAAGGAATGTTATATTTGCTCTATTTTTTTTTTTTTTTTGTAGAAATTAGATTGTTAACCCAGGTCCACAAAAGTCAGTTTTCGATTTTAAGAGAAAATGGGTAAGAAAGTAAATATTGCTAAGACTGCAGTTGGGAAGATAATTCAAAGCCTATGTCACATTGGAGAGTGCGTAAGAGGTTTGGAGGGGTGAGGGATGGGACATTCAGAGGCATAATACAAAGTATAGCATCTTCAACCTTGACAATCGTCAAAATTGGAAGTGTTTATGGGCACTATTTGGTGAGTATGATGACTTAAGAAAGTCAGGAGAAATTGTAGGCATATTTAGTATATGTACGTGCAAGTTTTGGACCAGGTTTAGACTCTTACCTGTTTCTCTTGGTATTCATCAACCACTGCACGAAATCTTGGGCACGCCTGGAGTCCAGGTATTTGCTGTAGTCACTGGTAAATGTGCCCTGCGAGTGGCGCTTGTCTTCATTCATTGGATCAGGCTCATCAAGCGGGTCTGTCTGGGAAGCTGAGAATGATCTGTGAAGAACAGTGATTGGTGCAACGTAAATCTCCCCTTGAGGGTAAACTCACTTGAGAAGCATCTTAACTACAAAACACAGGACCACAAGAAGCAGTTAATATTTCAGTAGGTAGTTTAGAGAGATCTTACTTAGCCTGTCATGGGAATCTGATAGTTTTAACATAGTTGAAGACATTCTTATTCCAAATTCTAGTAATGAGTTTCTCAACTGACTTCTTTTTTCTGAAACAGGATTAAATAAATCTTTTTCAACTAATTAATCTACTCATGATTATGCTAATAATGATAGAAGAGAGCAGTGACTTGAATATTTTAAAAGAGTAAAGAATCTCAAATCATTTGGGCAGCAGATTTATGTTCTCAATTCTGTTTCCCATGTATTAATATAAAAACAGAGCACTTACCTAGTTACATGGTAGCTAATAGTGGAAGGAAGACAACTGAAAGTTCAAAGAAACACAAGAAAGAGGATACTTGCTAATTTGAAATGATATAGTGAATAATCCATATGCCAGTAATCAACAGTTGGTTGGCATGGTAAATATATGGGAAAATAGTCAATGCAATTAGTACTCAGAAGTGAAATACTATTTTTACCTGTCAAATCAGCAAAGGTTAAATACTGGGGAGGAGATTGTGAAGAGCATTTCTATACTGCCGATGGCAGTGTGCATGTGTATGAATTTTCTGGAAAGCAAGTTGGCAAGATATTATAAAAGGTTTAAACTCATTCAAACCCTTCGACACAGAATTTCTACAACTAGAAATCTATCTGCAAAAAATTGTAAGAAATGTAGGGAAAAGTGTATACGTGAAATGTTATTTGCAACATTCTTTGTGGTAAAATTTGAAGACCTCTCAGTGTCCAGTAGAAGAAGAATAGTTAAATAAATATTATACATTTATGAGATGAAGTAGTATGCAGCCTTACATTACATCTACATTAAATAGAAATTTGTAATCATATAATAAAAAGCTAATAGTGCAGTGTTAAAAGAAAAAGCATGATGCAAAACTATATAATGATCTGAGGGATATTTATATACAGCATATATAAAATACGGGAAAGTAATACACCAACTTTTTATTTTGAATAATTTTCTTTGGACAGTGGAATTGTGAGTACTTAAAATTTTTTGCATATTTTTAATATTTTCCATCATGGACATGTATGACTTTTACAATTAACAAGAAACATGTTATTTAAAAAGGAATAAAAAAGAAAAAAGAATTGGTGTGAATAATTAAAATAACCTATTATGTAGTGTGTGAGTAATGAATGGGTAAATAGGATCATCTGAAGAAATCAAAGAACTGTAATTCCCCATGTACATGTTTTTCAACATTTCCCGCCCCTTTGGTTATGAGATAACATACTTTATACTTCAGAAAAGACTGCCTTTATCACAATGCCACTTTAAACATTCAAAAATTGTGCAAAGCATTTACTTTAAATTACTGAGACCCTATTCATTAATCAGTTTTCGCAGGCTTTATTCTAACCATAATGCTATGTTAACTCAGATCTAGAGATTTAGTACCTGGATTTCTCCTCTGTGTTTTGAAGGGAACGTTGCCAGGTGCCTTGTACCAGCATCACAAACAATCCAGCCACAAAGTAAATGCTTTTCATTTTTGCTGCCTGTCAGAACACAGAGTGGGGGTGGGGGGAACAGACAACCATATTGAAACATGTCAGGCTAAATTAGTTCAATTTTGACTAGGTAAATATTATAAATCGAAAGAAAAAGCTAGTTATCAATTTTATTGTGATTATACTTCCAGCTGAATTTCAAATAGTGGATTATGTTATTTCCCCAGATTTTTTGGAGGCAAGAAAGGATAGAAAAGATGTATTCCACAATTAAGCTTTTTCATTAATGTAGGACACTTCTGTTAATGATTAGAAGGCTCATTTCCAGACTGGAAATTAAAAATGTCCACGATAAACATTTAAAATACCCACTGTAGATGATATGCTACATATGGTTAGCCTGAATGGCACTTTATCCATCATGCCACCCCCTTCACTATCAGTCTGGCTTTCAATTAATAGTCCTCCACTTCCAGGCATTTACATTATACTGCATTTCAACCATCTTAAAGCAGCCTCAGGCTACAACTTGGCATACCAGCTGTCGGTTCAGATGTATTATTCATTTATATTTTAAATAGTGTAACTTGGTCTAGACTTTGTAATTATAAAGCGGCCAACAGATTTGAGGTATTTTAGGGTGCTTTGACCTGTTCTAAATTAAAGGGAAAAAATCATTTTAAAGACAAGTAATTTGCAACAAGAACTAATGCTTCTGGCAACGTGAACAATCACGACTAAGAAAACTAAGAGATCACTATCAAAAAGAAAATTAGCGCTTGCTTCTGAAGTCTTGGAAGTCCCCAGGTTGGTTTATAATTGGACTTAGTCCAGGACGTGTCATTCACTGCAAGTGACACCACAGACCTGGTTGTAGGATACACCTGATTGCTTGTCCTTGTATCACAAGCAGATGCCCTATGAAGTCATAGGATGCCAAGGGCTTGACAATGCAGTGTGGATGGGGACTGGGACCAAAGGGTTGTGGGGCAGAATGTCCCCACAGAGCAGTTCTATTTTCCGAATGGAAACCTCAAGTCCAGTATTGTCATGGGCTTCTCTCTGCTACTTTCAAACCCAACAATGTTTTTTTTTTTTTTGAGAAGTGGGCATTTCAATTTGATTATGCTTATCCATAAATAATTTGAATGAGTATTTTTAGCAAATGACATTTGGTTTGGAATAAGGATTTTACAAATATTATCATTTTAAACTATCAATCTTTTCTTTAATATCCTAGCCATATTTACTATCTATCTCTGGCACTAAACCATAGAGACTGTAAGACCTGCAGCGGTAATTTTTTTCCTTTAAATTTTAAATTTTTGTAGATTAGGTGACCAATTAAATAAAGTAACATAATAGGAATTATATATTCACTTTTCTTGATTCATCAACATTAAATTACTAATTTGGCATTTTGTTATGCTTCAGTTTAGCCCCTTGGCAAACTTTGGAAACCTTGCCATATATTTAGATAGTGTTTCTGATTATAACTCTCAATTATAATATCCGTCCTTTCGGGAATATTTAAAAATTAAAGAAAGCACTTGTATTTAAGATTATGCCACTATTGGAAAGTTTTTTGTAAAAAACTGAAAACTGTCAATTCAGTCCCAAGTAATTCCTTTCACCCAAAGTCCCTAAAGGTTTTGCAGTATCTCCTATCATGTTCCATTCAGGCAGATTCAGAGCAGGTGTGATTCTGTCACTTTGGGAGCTGATGAAAAAACAAACAACCATAAAGAAATGAGCATTTGATGTCTAGTACAAGCAATCAAATGAATTCTACTGAAAGAAAGAACTGACCTTTAAAATCTCATTTATTCATTTTGTGAAAGTCTATGGAATCATGAAAAAAGTTAAGGGTAGAGTTATTTAATTGTTTGAATACTAGTGCTGAGAAAGGAAATACTTGTTATTTTAGTATTAAAATCTTGTTCAATAAGAAAATAACTTCCAATTGCTTTTCCCCTCTTTAGGTAGCCTAAGGAGAGTCTGCAGTTTTGTAAGAACCACAAATTTCCACTCGAATTTAAAAGGAAAATACAATAACAATAAAATGTAGGAAGTCTTTTAGAAAGACTAATCTTAGACCTAGGGAAGAAGATATTATATTGTATTCCTAAAT